CCCTTCTTTCCCCCAACTTAAACATGCATTAAATCAGATGAAATCATTGCCATCGTGCGGTTAAAAGGCATCTTAAAACCATCTAATGGTTCAGGTATTCTTCATCGATCAAGTTACCGTAGACCGTTCCGCACTTGTTCATTCTAAAGGCGGGAAACGAAAAAAATAGAGATCGAAATGGCGGGAAGGAATCGGAGCCCAGACCGTCGAACATATAATCAATTCCTCTCCTTCTGTGAGAAAAAAAACACTCTGATTTCTTGAATCTTAAGGAGAACAAGAAGAAAGGAACTGCAGATTTTTGTTTTGGGTGAATTCAATTCGGGTTGAGATGGGTAAGACTAAGAGGAAGAATTCTAGGGTTTCTCGTGAAGGAGATGAAGACGTAGAAGTAGAAGTCGAGCAGGAGGAGCAGCATCAAGAGGACAACAATCAGCCTCCCTCAAACTCAAACGAGAAGAGCTTATACGAGGTATGTCGAAGCTCTGCATTTAGTTTGTGGTATATAGATTTGGAAATTAGGGTTTTTTTGGGGTATGTTCTAGTGTCGCGAAGGAATTTTGAATCAAAATGGTTTTATCAATCAAGATGTCGTTTAAGTTAGAGTAATATGGTAAGGTTTCTGGGTCGGCTTTGTATGCGGAAATTATTTGATTTCTTTGCTTAAAGTTTGTTGCTTTCGATTTTAGCTTTATTTGCCAGTTTGTGGCTGATTTCTTTGTAAAATGACTAAATGTGGCCAAAATTCTTAGTACTTTTCGTTGTGCTTGGTAATGTTAGAAATCATGGAGAGGGAATCTGTAGCATTTTTTTGAAACATGTAGATTTGAGTCATTTGATAGATCTTTTTTCCTCTGTATATTGCCCATTTAATGACAAGACTAGGGAGTTTAGTTTTCTGGGCTGTGGTATTATTTATCTCGATTTGCAGGGTACCCGGGAAGGAGAATCAGGAAAATGTCTAATATTCCATTTGCTGAATTAAATCCTCCTTAGTAGAGGATCCAGCCAAAGAAAAAAGCAGATAACTCCCAAAAATGAATCCTCAGAAGTGTTGTTTATAATCTATTCCTAGTTCTATGTGTTCTGGTTATCTATAGGGAGATTGGACCTGCCTTTGGGGAAGAGGCTGCTTTTCCCTTTATTGGGATTTTTTTTTTTTTTGTTTATTTCTATTGTTATCCTCTCGAAGATTCCAACACCTGTTTTCTTGTTTTGTTGTTGTTTTTGATAGACAATCTAATTGGAATTGGAGAAACTATGCCAAATAACCATCACATGTCTGTAGGTCCTTGGTGTTGAAAG